GTCGGGGGCCACGGGCCAAGGGCAGAGGTTGGGGAGACCCAGGTCACAGGCGAGGGTAGAGGTCGGGGGCCACGGGCCAAGGGCAGAGGTTGGGGGGACCCAGGTCACAGGCGAGGGCAGAGGTCAGGGGACACAGGTCACAGGTGAGGGCTGAGGTCAGGGGGCACAGGTCACAGGCGAGGGCAGAGGTCAGGGGACACGGGCCACAGGTGAGGGTAGAGGTCGGGGGCTACGGGCCAAGGGCAGGGATTGGGGAGACCGAGGTCACAGGTGAGGGCTGAGGTCGGCGGGGGGGCGCAGGTCACAGGTGAGGGCCGAGGTTGGGGGATGCGGGCCGCAGTCCGGCCTGGACCAGCCTCTGTCCTGGCTCCGGCAAGGACGGGCTTCCTGGAGCCCCGTCCACCAGGCAGTGACAGGCACACACGGGGCGGGGAAATGTGTGAGCGGGTGCGGCGTCCAGGGTGGGCAGCCCAGCTGGGGGGGCCCCACCTGCAGGTCCCAGCACGGCGCCTTAACCCTACAGCAACGCCGCGAGGCCCTGGCTTCCCACGGACGGCGCTGCTCTGGCGCTCTGGGCGCCTCCCTGCCTCTCCTGCAGCGTTGCAGAAGCAGGAACGACTCAGTCCCATTTCACAGACAGGGAAACTGAGGCCTGGACAAGTCAAGGGCTCACAGCCAGCAGGAACCGCCACCCTCCCGGCCCCAGCGGGTCAGACGGCCCCACCCTGTCGCGGACTTTACTCATTCGTGGATTCCCACCCGCGGGCGGGGGCGGCTGCGACAGCTCAGGTTTGCTTTAAATTCTGGAATCGTCCCACAGCTCCGGTGACGTCCCGCCTGCTGATCCCACCGCTGTGCCGTTCCCGGGGCTGCTCCTACCGAGAGCCTTTTCTCGGGGTTTAGGTCACACCGTCCTGCTTCCTGGCCTGTTGCGTTTTGAGTGGCGGCTGAACGTCGCGAATTCCATGGGCCCGGGGTCGCGTCCAACCGCTGCTCTGAAGCTCCGCACAGCGCCTGGTGGCGCGTGCCGTGCGCGTGCGCAGGCTGGTGCCGCTCTGGGTGGGCCGGCTCCTCGCAATCACCCACGATGCCCTCAGACTCCCCGACCCCTCGGCCGGGCTCTGCGGGAGCCTCTCCCACTGCGGCGGGAACCTGCATCCCGGGGGGGGGGCTGCATGGTGGGGGCTCGGCTCGTTCGCTTCCCTCTGAGGGACACGGCTGCTCCCAGAGCCCACGTCCGAGGGACATGCAGCATGTTCCGTTGGTCACTCGTGTGTGGGGCGAGGGGACCCCAGTGTCTGTCCTCCCATCGGGTCACAGGCAGAGTCCGCGGCAGGTTGGCGAAAGACGGAGAATTGTCCTCCCCACGTCCGAGCTTCCAAGTCTCCCCGCGTCCCGGCAGGTGCGCCCGGAGCCGCCGCCCTCCTAGAGGCCCTCGGGCCCCTCTCTGAGCGTCTTACGGAAAATTTCCACGCAGGGGTTCGTCCCCCGTCTGCAGCACGTGTGGGCCGTGCCGCTCCCATGCTGGGAGCGTTCCTGGAACTTCCTCCTCTCTCCGTTTTGTACCGTGTTTTCTTCCAGGTCCTGCTGGATGTGGTGGGGCCTCCCAGATGGACCCCTTATTCCTATTAGCTTCACCCGGTATTTTTCGACCTTTCTCTCTTCCTCTGCTTTCTGGGATATTTCTGTTTTTCTCTCAGATTATTCACCTGGTCTCTGGTCGTCCTCCTCCCTCCGCTCACGCGCCCCCCGCACCGCCCGGGCCCCGACTGCAGTTACAGGAAAGTATCTCGGAGCAGAAGGAGAGATCCACATCTCGGCCATTCGGCACAAAACGCACAGGCAGGGGGGAAGCCTGGTGGCCCCACCCCTCCCTGCCGAGGCTGCGCCGCCCCTCGGAGCCGCGCCAGAGCCCCACACCTGAACACGGGTGCCCCCGCGCTGTGCGGGAGCAGCCCCACACGGGACGCAGTCTGCCAACAGGAGGAGGGAGACACCGCTCCGCCCTCAGAGGAGCGTCTCACACCCTGAACGTGGAAACACACCAAGGGACCAGCGCGGCCAAGTGATCTGGAATTTGAAGTGCAAAAAGCACAACACGTATTTATTTTAACATTTATAGGTTTTGATGTTTAACATAGCCTTTAAAAATGGTCACAGCGTAACAGCCTCGTGGAGTAATAGCCCTGCAGACACCTTCCCCACGGGCTTGACTGAATGAGCCCAGCGTGCACTTACAGTGACGTCCCAGACCCAGAAGCGCCTGATAAATAAAACATTAAAGGATCAGAAAGTACTGCAAATTACTGTCTCCATTTTATCAGCGAGGAAACCGAGACTCAAAGATGAATTTACTTTCCCAAGGGCACATGGCCAGGGTTCAAGTCCAACTCCGACTGTCTCCAAAGCTGTGCTATGTGCAGAAGGGGTGGATGGTGGGTGGATGATGGATAGATGGGTGGATGGTGGATGGATGGATGGACAGTGGAAAGATGGATGGATGGTGGAAGGATGGATGGATGGATGGTGGATGGATGGATGGTGGATGGATGGATGGATGGTGGATGGATGGATGGTGGATGGATGGATGGACAGTGGAAAGATGGATGGATGAGTAGAAGGATGGATGGATGGTGGAAGGATGGATGGATGGTGGATGGATGGATGATGGTGGATGGATGGATGGTGGGTAGATGGGTTGATGGACAGACACAGGGTGATGGTTGGGGATGGGCAGTGCGAAAAGGCTGGTTTTCGCTGGAGGCTGTGCTGGCCCTCAAGGAGGAAGCCCCAGTGAGGCCGCCCGTGAACCCGGGTCTAGTCTGAGCAATGAGTTAGGAGAGGAAGGCCCTGGGCTTCCAAGACACTCTCGCGGAGCCTGGATGGACCTGCCTGGCAGGAGCAGAGCAGCCCCATCTCCTGCTCTTAATGAAGGACCGGAGCAGCCCGGGAATGTCCCTGCCGCTGAGGACAGGGGCCCAGACCCGGCCACCTCTGAGGGCTTCTGCCTCTGTCCTCACTGCCCCAGGCAGCGGCACACCCTCCTGAGTCTTAGCCTCGACGTCATGGCACAGGCTGTGCCCAGGAGGCGCCCTGGCGTCTGCACCCCAGCTCCTGGCCTATCTGCAACACAGGGTGCGTCTGACCCACCCAAGCTCCCCCGGCAGCACCTCCCTTGCCGGCTCTCCCAGCTCAGCACTGTCCCTTCCCCTCTGAACCCCAGGGAGCTGCAGCCCCTGGGCCGGACCAGCCCTAAATCCATTAAACCTCCCTGGAGCCGCCCCTGCTTCCCGCCTGTGCCACGCCTGCTCGGCACCCGCGAGCTGTGGGGAGAAGTCATCGCCCCACTGCCCCGGCAGGACACAGACAAGCCACCTACTGGGTGGCTCCGCGTAGGAGCCACGACACCACTGAGTCATAAATCTAACTTTATTTTGGTTGTCTGTGCCTTGACGCTGTCAGGGTCATGTACACACCCAAACCGTCTCCCAAAAAGACAGACACCGCCCTGGGATGGTGGAAAGAGAATGGATGGGCTGGGAGAGCCCAGCGACCCGGTGTCACCAGAGGCAGGGAAGGGTGGCTCTGAGTAGGGACAGATGACGACCGGGAAAGCTCAGGGAAGAGACTTCGTACACATGAGGGCGGACGGCCCCGGGGTAGCACGGAGGAAAGGCCTGGACGGAGAACTGCGCCCCAGGGACCCCCAGGAGCAGGTCTGGGGGCTGCAGCTGAGTCAGGGCCCAGCAGGGTTTTGGGCTCCTGCCTCTGCAACTGTGGGGGAGCCGGTTTCTGCGCTTTACGCCACCAGTGGGGCGGCTGGGCCCCCACACGCCTGAGGGGAGGGAGGACTTGGGGGCTATGAGCACAGCCAGGGCCACGGGACAGGAAACAGCAGGGACGGGCGAGAGGGCAGGAGCCACGGAGCCACGCCCCAGCCACGCCAGCACCTCCCGAGCCTTCCAGCTCTTCTCGTCGGGCAGAGGAGGGGCTGACATTTCTGCAGAGACCAGCAGGAAAGACGCCAGCCACAGCGCGGCTGCGCAAGGCGGGGAATCGTAGCCCCGCCCGGGATATTTAGGAACGTGGCCTTGAGGGCAGGCCTCAGCCGGTGCAGGCACCAAAGGCCATGGCGGGGCCGGCCCTCAACATGTGTGCAAAATGGTCTGTGCGCATCTGTGCGTCTCCTCGGGGTCCCTGCTTCCTGCGGATTATCTCGGGGGGCTGCCGCCCCAGGGTGGAGAGCCCCCCTGTGAAGTGCTCAGGCCGATCCCAGAGCATGTGCACCCCACGCCTCCTGCACACCGCGCCCGCGCACAGCCGCACCCGCGCACACGTGCCCCCAGGCGTCAGGCTAGGCGCTCTGGGCTCAGCGGGAGGCCAGGGTTCAAGCCACCCGACCTGCCCCCTCGTGTCTAAGGCCAGGAGGCCTCACCAGCCACCGCCTGAGCGCGGCACGGAGCAGCTGTGCCTGTTTGTAAAAGCCCCAACAGCACCACTATGGGTAACATCTGCTTTGCTGAACATATTAAAAAGAATGTTCTGGAACTTCTAAAAATAACGTCATCTCGGGGAATCACCAAGTCTGGAAATTCTGACGTTCGCTTAAAAACAACCTGCCGTGCTTCCCGGGAGTCAGATGTGTCACCAGGGCAGATCGGCCGGCAGCGGGAAAGGCCTTACCGCGTGGCCAGCTTGTGGCAGACGACGCCCGTGTCCGTGATGACCTCGCTCAGCCTCAGCTCCAGGTGGACCTGGCCCTGCAGGACACAAGGACAGAGTGTCAGGCCGGGACACGCACCGGTGGCTGCGCACGGCCGCGGCGAGCCGAGAGGCGCGATGGGAACACCTGGCTTGCTCGGCTCCGATCCGGGACGGGGGGGCGCAACCGGCTCTCCCTCTAGGGCTCTGCGCCCCGCGCGCCGGCCGGGATCATAAGCGCCACTCCTGGTAGTCGGGGAGAGGGACAAGAGGAGACGAACAGACAAGACGAAAACCACATGTCCCCGAAGGGCCTTTCTCCACCAGAAAGTGACTCTGAACCAAGCTGACGATGAGGAGTTCGGGGCAGACACGGCCTCGGTCCCGCGGGGCGGCTTGGCGCTGCCCCTGCAGGGCAGGTGACTCCACCTCCCAAACAGACAGCCGGCCCTGTCTTGGGCGGGCAGGAAGCTGCTTTTCAGAGCACGCTCGCCCCACGGGGCAGAGAGTGCTCAGGCACACGTTCCACGCCGCCCTGGAGGAAGCCGCCACCAGGGTCCAGCGTGATTGTCCACGTCACCAGCGTGCCTGGCGAGGTGTGGGCAAGAGCCCTGTGTTCACGAGGAAAAAACGAGGACAGAGAAAAGCCAATTGGTGGCTTTTCCGTCGCTATTTAAGGTGAACGATGACACTAAGAACTTACAAAAAGCCGCTGGGGACTGACAGCATCCCAGTCCGCGGGGTCTAAGTGACTTCTGCAGACCCTGCGGGTGGGAACCTGCGGTCTTAAGGCCGCGTGTGGCCTTCTAGGTCCCTCAGCGCGGCCCTCGGCTAAACGCGGATTTTACAGCCAGTCCACACTCAGAGAGGCCCCACCCCGGCCCGGCGCCGGCAGAAACCAGCACCAGGCAGCTGGAAACCCCAGACGTGCAGAGAGTGAGCAACAGGCCTCTAAACAGCACACGGGTCAGAGAGCTCAGGGGGATTTTTGAGTATTTTGAGACCACAGTGAAAGTGCGACTCGTCAAAGTGCGAGGAGACAGCGCAGCGCGGAGGGAGGTTTGGAGCCTGGAGCACACGTGTCGGAACAGAGGAAGGATCCAAAGTGGAGAATCCAACTTCCACCGCAGGAAACCGGGAAAAAGGGCAAATTAAAGCCAAAGTCAGTGGAAGAAAAGAAACAAAAAGGGGAACAGAAATCAGTGACATTAAAAACAGGAAATCAATAGAAAAAAATCGAAACCAAAATCAGACTCTTTGAAAAGATCAACGACGTCGATAACCTTGGCGAGACCGGCCGAGCTGCCCGGGAGGGGCTGGGCCTGGCGCCGCCGACTCGGCTCCGTGCGGCGGAGAGGAAAGAGCCCCAGAGGCTGCAGAGGTAACGGGCGGGAACGCGGGTAAGGCCCGAGCTCGCCCGCCTCTCTAGAAACCCTCAGAGAGATTTAGAAGCCAGGTCTGGACAGCAGCTGCGTGGCCACTGCGTGGGCGCGGGAGACCCTCTGAGCAGGGCTGTCTGAACTCCCAGACGCTCCGTGAACGGGCTGGCCCTCCAGGTGCAGCCACAGCCACGACGTGGACACGCGTGGTCTCTCAGGGCTGGCGTGTGCCCGGGTTTGCCCTCTCCTGAGCACGTGGTCACGTTAATACCCAGTTTGTGAAAACAGAGCTCAGCCACCAGCACCCGCCACGACTCAGAACATGGCTGCGTCCACGCAGGGAGACGGGATCTGCCGCGAGCCCGGCACTGCTCCCCTCCCTCGGGTCGGGGGTCAGAGTGACTGCAAGGAGCTGATTTACCAAAGACCTTCGCAAACGCCGATTACGGGAGGAAGCGAGACACTGATCCAGTCGCCCTTTCCCCAGCCTGTGACTCGCTGGGCCCTCGCGCTGGCCGGGTCCTGAGACACTTTCTATCCTGACGCGTGAGCTTTCCTGCGCGTTACGCAGAAGGAGCAGGTGAAGTGAGGGAGCCGCACCGCCACGCTCGGCCTTCTAAAAGCTGTCGTGAGATCTGCAACAAAGGCTGCAGCGGCAGCGTAGTAGCTGCAGCTCCCAAGGCCAGTCTGAGTCTGCCGGAGCCGCCCCGCCCCACCCCGGCCACTCTGCAGCGGGCAACTTCCGAGAGGTTCCTGAGCAAGGCACCGCGCAGCCCGCCTGGGGCCAGGCGCACGTGGTGGGCGCCAACTCCCCCTCCTCCCTTAGACACAGCCTGCGCTGGGCTGTCCTAACTCACAGCCCCCAGGGGACAGGACGAGCCAGGCCTGGAGGGTGAAGGCGCGTCCACGGCACACGAGCTGCCTTCCGGCATTAATCACGGAATACGCCGCCAGCCGAGAGATCAACACGCGTGTTCATATTTACACGCCGTGGTGAGGAAGCAGTTCTGAACCTTGATGTGGTACTGGTCACGCAACCCACACGTGTGCTAAAGCTGCACAGGATATCACAACAGCCAAAGCAGAGGCGACCCAGATATCCACCGATCTAAGCGCTGGAACACTGCTCAGGCTTGAAAGGAGGGGAGTTCTGGAATGTGCCGCCACACGGGTGAGCCGTGCACCGCGCTGAGTGAAACACGCCGGTCGCGGCTCCACCGCGGGAGGTCCCCAGGGAGCTGAGACCACAGACCGAGGGTGGGACGGGGCTGCCAGGGGCTGGGCGGGGTGGTGTTTAACGGGGACAGAGTTCCAGTTTTGCAAGAGGAGCGGAGTTCCGGAGACGGCTGGCGGTGGTGGCTGTATCCGATCCCGGGCCACTGAAGCGGACACTTAAAATGGTTAAAAGGGCAAATTTTAGGATACGTGTCTTTTACTACAACAAAAAAAATTGGAAAATAAATCTCATAGGACACACACATGTGTGCGTGTACGTGTGAACTGGTGGAGTCTGACTAAAGTCTGGGCATCGTACAAACATGGGCGTCCTGCCGAGATCTCGTGCCAGTTACGTGGGACGGTGCCACGGAGAAGACGGGAGAAGGGCCCCAGCCCTTCCTGCCCTGCGGTCCTGACACACAAACAGCAGAGCGCAGGAATCCGCCATCGTTCTTCTCCGTGCACGACTTTTGTGACTTCCTGGGACTCTATGACCATTTCACGATCAAGTGAGTTAAGTAAAAAAAATAAAAAGCAACAAACAGGAAAAGCTACACCTGCTGATGAGATTGACCTAAATCCAGGAACGCACCACGGGGAGAAAACGGAGCGGCCGGGCCTCTTGAAGCCTCGTCCTTCTGGACAGGAATGTCCGTGACCCTTGGAGCAGGGCCGTGTCCGCGGCCATACACGGCGAGAACCTGCTCCCTCGCCCCGAGGACAGCCATGGGCTCGGTCGGCAATCACGGCACCTGCCGATTCCCAGCGCGTGGGGCGCCCGCTGGCACTCCGTCCCCCTGGGGCAGAGTCCGCCAACTGTGCCCATGTGGGGACGTCCCCGAGGGCCACCCAGGCCCATCCTGGTGCAGCCACTTCACTTCTGCCGAGGCCCCACCTCCTGTCCGCTGGGCTCTGCCCGCACTGCGGATGACCCTGTGTGCGTGACCCAATGCCCCACGCTTCGCCTTTTAATAGCGCAGAGGATGAGGGTCTGGACCTCTGACCCCAGGCTGCCCTGGACACGCAGGCACAGACCCCCGCCCTGCCGACCCCCAGAGCCACTTCCGCCGACGTCCCAGGCAAAGCCCCGAGAGGTCCCCATCTCAGGGTACCTGGCCGGCTCCAGAGCTCCGCCTGCCCACCTGGACCCTCAGTGCCTGCAGCTCGCGCCGCCCCGCCCCCCACCTCGTGTGTCTGGGAAGCTGCCCCCACCGTGCAGGACAGAGTGCGGCAGAAACCAACAGAACAAAACTAACGAGCCCATGTTTAAGTCTCTGAGCACGAACACACAGTCCGCGATCATCATTCTCTGTTACGCCCCAAAGCCTGTACCTCCGTTTCCGACCGCAAACGCAGCCCGTCCCCTTCCCAAGACCTCGCGTTCCCGGGGCCCCACCAAGGTCTCACCTGCACTTCCGAGTCGGCGTCCACGTGCTGCAGCTGGAACCAGGTGTCCCTGTTGTGGTACTTCTGCAGGTCCTCCTTCCGGATGGCCACCTTCCCTGCAACGCACGAGGCGGGAAAAGCGTCACACCAGGGAACGAATGCTCTGCCCCGGCCCCACGGCCGCGCCATCCTGCAGCTTACTCCAAGCAGTTTAATTCCAAACAGTCCCCCTCCCAGGAAGGTGCCACGCCACACGCCATCCCCACACCTCAGGAATCAGCGTTTCACCCTCGAATGTCAGACTATCATCGCGTTAGCTGCAGGAGTTGAGCAGAGGGACGGGGAGGGGCAAGTCCCGAGCGCAGGGCGTGGTCACGGCCCCTCTGCGCCAGAGCTTCCTTCCTTCAGAACGCAGACAGGAGCAGAACTCACCTTACAGAGTTTTTACGAGGATTTAATGGAAACCTGTGCGTGTACCTATATGAGCCATAGCTTAGAACACGCGTGTGCGTGTGTGTGCCTGCACGTGTGCACACATGTGTTCAAGGGCAGCGGTCAGCACAGCTCATACGAGCGCTTGAGCTATTCATAGCAGGACGGGCCGTGAAGATACGGCTGGAACGAGACACAGAGTGGGCCTGGCCGTGGGATCCGTGTCTCTGGGAGGGAGATCGACGGGCTGCCGGGAGACCCCCGCCCCACCCAGCAGGAGGAAAACAGAACCCCAGGTGTGGCCCAAAGTGTGGGGACGTCCACTCTGAACAGTTTCGTGCTCCTTACACAGGCTTAATACTTTGTGGCTGGAACGTCAACAATACACAAATATGTTTGCGTAGTGTGCGTCTACCGCGTACAGAGTCACGGTATCGAAACGTGCAGGTAACCCTTCCGCATCCAGCAGAACACTTGCCTCGTCCCAGGAGAGCACTCACAGGCCCATCTCGCAGGGCACCGAACTCTGGGCTACTTTGCCCGTTCCATTAAAAACATAAAAAATAGAGGAATAAATTCTTTCAAATGTGCGAGATATGTAGGCTGAAAACACATCACAAAACACTGACGGAAGAAATTAAAGACGACCTAAGCACATGGAAAGACGCACGACGCCACAGATCAGAGACTCGATTTTGTGAAGATACTAATTCTCCCCCAAATTATCTATAGATCAACGTAATCTCGATCAAAATTCCTGTGAGAATGCTTTGGAAATTGAAAAGCTGACTCAAAAACATACACAGCAGGACGGGTGCGGTGGCTCACGCCTGTAATCCCAGCACTCTGGGAGGCCGACGCATGTGGATCGGTCAAGGTCAGGAGTTCCAGACCAGCCTTGAGCACAAGTGAGATCCCGTCTCTACCGAAAATAGAAAAATTAGCCGGGTTTGGTGGCGCCTGTAGTCCCAGCTACTCAGGAGGCTGAGGCAGGAGGATTGCATGAGCCCAGGAGTTGGAGGCTGCAGTGAGCTATGATGACATCACCCTGTCTCAAAAAAAAAAAAAAATACAGCAATTCAAAGGACTTAGAATAGCAACACGAGTTTGGATAAGAACAAAGTTTTCAATCTCACACTACTGACTTAAGACTTGCCATGAAGCAAAAATTAACTTGAAATAGATCATACCTCCTAATATGGCAGCTAAAACCATAAGCTTTTTAGGAGAAAAATGTCACAACCTTGGGCTAGAAAAAATTTCTTAGGACACCAAAAGCACAAATCAGAAAAGTAAATAATCTAACAAACTAGACTTCATCAAAATTAAAAACTTCTGCTCTTCAAAAAACAATGGCAAGAAAATGAAAAGCCATAAACTGGAAGAAAATATTTGCAAAACACCCACCTGATGGGCTTGTATCCAGAGTATATAGAGAGAGAACTTTTAAACCTCAGTAAGAAGAAAACAACCCAATTAAAAGGGCAAAAGACTGGAACCATTTACCCAAGAAAAGACAACGACGAACAAGCGTGTGAAAAGATGCTCAACGTCACGGACACGCAATAAAAACACAAGACAGCGCACACCTATGAGAATGGCAAAGTTTAATTAAAAATAAAAGCCGGCAACGCCAACTGCTGATGAGGGCACACTGCTCAAAAGAACTCAAAACGGCGCCGTCACCTGGGAACGCCATTCGGTAGTTTCTAACGCGGTGACCCAGCAGTCGCCGGGCGTCTATCCGGGAGTAAGAAACAGACGTTTGTCAACACAAAGGCCCATGTACGGATGTTTTAAGCCGCTTTATTCATAACTGCTAACAATGAGAAACAGCCCAGACAGCCACCTAGCGGGTGACTGCACTGCGGCGCGGCGGCAGGTGGAAGGAACCGGGGCAGCAGTGGGGAGCAGCCGTCCCCGGCAGGTGCCGCGCGTCACGCCGCGGGGCGACGGACCCCCGCGTGGGCTGCCTCGTGTGGCCTGGAAACAGGCGCTGCAGCTGGGGCAGGGCGGGAAACCCACTCCGGGAACCCGAAGGACGTCTGGAGCGACAGAAACAGTCTTAACTGTGCCACTGTTTGCACGGCTGTACATGCCGGCTGGGACTCGGCGCACTCTGCCGCTGACGACGGTGGACGTCGCCACACGCAAACTGCATTTCGACAACCGATCTACCACAGAGGCACGAAGGCCTCGCCGCACCCACCCGGGAGGAAACCCCAGGAAGCCTCCAGGCCCCGGCGGAGGGACGCGCGGAGGGTGTGGCGCCACCAGGGCGCGGAGGGCGGTGGGGAGGGCGGGAGGAGCCTGCCCAGGCCCCACCAGCCCCCACCCGGAGCCCTGGCCGGAGCAACGCTCGCACGGGAGCCCTTGGCTCGAGCTCCTCCTACCAGACGGACTGAACGCAGTTCACGTGGCTTCGGTCTGCGCCCCGGGCTGCTGCCTTCCTGGCCACAGGGAAGGAACCGTGTGCGTTTGTCTGGCAGCCTTTTAGCACAAAGGAAACACGGAAAACGCTGGGACTGTGACGTGTTCCCCATGTCGAGGCCACACGGTTGGGAATCTTCACCTCATCGATGGCCCCTGCCGGCTGCGAGGCTCTGCCCGTGACGCCGGTGGCCGCCGACCACACGCGAGGCCACGTTATGAGGCGCAGCCACTGCCCGCTGGTGCGGGACACGCCCTTCGGCCTTCTCCGCCGGCTCCGTCCTGGGGGCGGGCCTGTGGTTCCGGACCCAGGGTTGGCCCGATTCAGCCGCTGGAGATGTTGGTGGCAGACGGGGGTGGGGTGGGGTCAGGGCTGTTAGCGCCCCACCCTTCACCTGCCCTGGGCACTGCCCCTCCCACCAGGCTGAAGGCTCCCCGCTGCTGCTGGCGCGGGGGCTGCGCCCATCTGTCCCCAACCCCCAGCACGCGCCTGTCCCCCGCGAACACGCCTGCATCGCCCTCGGTCCTGGACTGGAACCTGCGGTCCAGGGCACAGGTTTGGTGGCATCAAAGGAAACCTGCAGGCAGGTGGGACTTCCTCGGGGCGTGGGCGCTCCGAGATTAGAAACCAGGAAACCGCAAGAACAGCACCGCCCAGAAGCCAGCCGGCAACACCACCCATTTCTATGACAGTTGTTTCTTAGAATTTGTGCTTTTATTCCTGGTAACAACATAATTACTAGTCATGACTTTAAATCACTACTGGAGAGCAGGCAGCCACTTGTTTTTACGGCTTTAAAAACGCTGGCAAGAACAGCTGAGCCCAACCCCGTGCCGCCCCCTTCATTACAAAGCTACCAAGAACCCTAAATCACCACCGGGTTGGTCATCTTTAAAAATAGCAGGTACCTTCAACAGAATGACTAACAAGCACCTCATGGGATTATTTTGAGAGAAAACAACCTCAGAACTAATTTGATTCTGTTCTATGACTAAAACGTGCAAAAATTTTTTTAAATTTCTTTTTCCTTAGGGTTACCACTCAAAATTCTCACACGCCTCCAAGAATTAATCAAATGCCTCTTCATTCTGGTGCGCAGCCTGAGCCGATCACTGAGACAACAGCATCTTCGTGTCTAGTTGCCCTGTCAACTGTGGCAATGTACTGACACCCAGCCGCGCGGTCCAGGTCCCACCCTCCCCTCTCCCTTCGAGCGCCTGCCGGGTGCTGGGACGCAGCCAGGAGACATGCACAGGCCCCCTCCCGGGCCCCCGACACACAACTGCTTCAGGGTAAGCACTCGGAGACACGCACGCTGAGTGGCAGCCCGCTCAGGCCAGCGGAGAGGGGAGGCCACCTCCGCCAGCAGACCAGAGCCATGGAGCAGACGTGGCTCGCGGGAGTGGAGGAGGAGGCGCCCGGCCCGGAGGCTAGAGGGAAAACTGCCATTAGCATCAGAGCCCATGCTCAGGGCAGAGGAGAGGAAGAGGGGCCCCTTTCTCAGAGCCCATCACGAAGAACTCTGACACTAAGCAGAGCATTTGGACGTCCTCCCGAGGGCAGAGAGGAGCCCGTGCGGGCTCTGAGCAGGGGAGTGCTACCGTCACGTGAGACCTCTACAGAGGTCCAGCTCCAGCGAGACCCTGAGAGTGGGCCAGTTAATCCACCTCCACACAGCAACGTAAAACACGTTCCTCTACAGTCTCATTTCTGGGCTGGGGCTTTTGCTGCAGAAGCTCCTGTCACAAATCCATCTTAAAGCACAGTCAGATGTGATTATCTGAGTCCCTGTGAGATCCATGCCCATGTACTTCCTGAACACACTCTGGTTATTTGTTTAAATCACAGAAGTTTCTAAGAATGATCAGTTGGGTAGACCAAACAACAGTCCCAAAATACGTGCAGCTCCTATTCCCCAGAATGGTGATACTGGATAGCAGATGGTGATGGTGGATGGTGATGGTGGATGGTGATGGTGATGGTGGATGGTGATGGTGATGGTGGATGGTGATGGCGGATGGTGGATGGTGATGGTGATGGTG